TCATCTGTGGGAAGAGGATAGCTAGTCGAACTTGTGCCAGCCCTAGCAAGTGGGACGTCCCTCTGAGCCAACTTTGCCTTCATGTACCCAATAGGGTCATTTCGTCTCAGAAGTTCCAGTTCCTCGTCAGTCATTCGAGACAGAGAGGATTGAGGGAGTTCTACACGTAGGGGAGCCACGTCTATTTCAACCTCTATGGTTTTGTTGGGTGCATTACCATCCCCTTCATTCGTTTCGTGCTCTTGGTCTTATTCATCCTCATCCAAGTCCACCACTTCGATACCATCCCTTTCACTGCTATTTGCGTTGGACTCCGTCCCAACAGTCGAACCGTCATTGGCATTCTCCTCCTCAGATTCTTCGTCTGCAGATTCTTCGGCTCTTTGCCCAGAATCAGCTTTCTCTTCTTCAGTTTGAGTGTCCTTTGGGTCCTCTTGAAGAGTTTCAAGAGGGGACTTTTGAAGAGAAGCCCTTTGCAAATCCTCTGCAGACGTTTTAAGTGTTGTTTCATTTATCTCTTTCAGAGGAATGGAGGTACCTTGATCATCCTGCTGTTCAGAAGTTCCAGCCAGAACCGCCATATTGGAGGAACCTTTATTTTGAACCAGGTTGCTGGAATCTCCTTGAGGAGAGGAGTTGAGCGGAGCAGCAGTTCTGGATGGTGAGTTCGAAATAGTGGAAGCTGGATTCAAGATGTTCTGCAAAGAACAACAGAATGTTAAAAATATTCACCAAGGTAATAAGAAGTTATTATTGTCAAAAATTTAAAGGTTCAATTTACCTGTGGACTCTCGGAGGAGAGGTTACTAGCTATACGTTCCAACGTTGGGTTGGAGGTCGAAGGTGGATTTTTGGATTTGGGTGAGGGAGCAGCATCCCTGGAATCAAGTCCAGAGACACTAGTTGGAACGGTACTTTTCGAAATATCTTTCTTTGGCTTCTTCTTCGAAGCAGTATTTAAGTTTCCTCCGGCCTTGGGATCTTCCCCAGTGGTGCTTGATTTCCTCTTCTTGGGAGTAGTAGGAGGAAGCTTGTTGGTCTGAAAAGATTTTAAACGAAGAGTTAGATGCAAACCATAAAGCATGAGTGAATTCGAAACATCAAGGCTAAGTGATTACCGTTGGAATTGGAACACCGGTTGTTGTTGGTATTATTGTTGTTGTTGTGGTTGCAGCAATAGTGGTTGTTTCAGGTGGAGTCACTTTGTCAGTAGTTTCGATGGAGGCTTGAGAGGCGCTCCCTTCTTTCGACTTCGAGGCAGCTGTCTTTATCCTGATGGCTGAAAATCGAAACAATTAAAGCAAAGGTTAAAGATATGGAAAATAAAAGACATTTGGGATTTTCCCAAGCATTCACACCTGTGCCTTGATCAGATTTAATTGACATGGCAGAAAGGTCGTATCGAAGGTGTCTTGGGAAATCATGAAGCCAGTATCGAGCCCATGTCACAGTCTTAGATGGCTTTGGTTTCCTTTGAAGATATTTGAACATCTCTTTGCAAGTAAACCACCAAGGATATGGGGGAAACCAAGCCAGAGCCAGTTCTGAGGTAGGTAATCTGGGAAATTTAGGTGGATGCATTTCGAATGCCAACCTATACCTATCCTCAGGTGACAGCCCTGAAGGAAGTTTTAACTTAGAAACTTTTTGTTTAAATTTTTCCTTCAAGGTCTCAGCCGCTTGATGCACAGTGGAGTCCAAGCGCGTGGGGTCATAAGTAGTTTCAAAATAATTTTGGAAAGCTTTAATCTCTTTGGCATGAGTAAACATACCTTTCTTTGTTGGTACCTGCACATCGAAGGCATCAATTAGTTTCTGTTGAATTGTAAGTGTATCGAACATATAAGTTTGATAAAACTTGGTCCACCATTCCAGAAATCCTTTAGCCGTGAGATGGGTAGGTTCGAAGGTTATCAGCTCAAATTGGGCAAAGCCTTGATATTGTTCTTGCTGTATTTTGGCTTCCCGTGCCTTGAAAGTTCGTCCAGAAGTGATGGCGCTCTCAGTTTGAAATAAAGGTTCAGGAATCAGTTGGCATAAGCCAAACTGCCTCGAAACAAAGTTTGGTTGGTAAGCAAAGAGAAAAATCTGGTTCTTGGCTGGAGTTATTCTTGAAGAAATGAGTCTAGGCAGCAAAAAAGCTCTCCATACACCCTGAATCTCCTTGCTCTTGATAGCTTCTGAGAGAGCCATGGTGAACCAAGAAGGTCCATGAGCCCTCGAAGCAAAAGGCGCCATGCTCTCTTCGAACTTGTGCCTTTTGGAGAATATCATGACGTACTTCGAGAATTGGACTTTGAAGTCATCTTTGTCGTCATTGGGAGTTAATCTTCGAAGCCTAGTGCCTTCGACTATCCTATCATTTATCTCAGAATCTTGCTCATCAATGGTGTTGGCGGTTGATAAGGAGGGTTCGAACATGGCATTTAGCCATAGTTGAAGCAACCAAAAAGGGCCAGCCAACAGAATATTTTTGGAGGTGTGGGATTTGAGGCTCGAAACAGCTGACCTCAGGCTTTCATAAAGGTCAACTAAGAGCAGTTCACTTAGGCACACTTTTCGATTTTCATGTAAGTCCCTAGCTAGAGGAATGAACCTACTAGCTACCTGTAGGGATCTACTGCAGAAAACGTATCTTGACAGCCACAGGGTTAAGAAAGCAATGTGCTCTACGTCAGATACATTGTCCCCCTCAGCATGGTAATGACTGATAAACTTGGAAAAACTGGCTAGCTTGACTTCGAAGTCAATTATGCTTGAATGTTCTTTGTTGTCGGGTATATAAGTTTCTCCCACTGGCGATAGCCCAGTGATGGCCGTTATGTCGAAGAAGGTTGGGGTGATCATTCCACCTGGGAGATGGAAAGTGTTATAGGTACTGTCCCAGAAATAGAGGGACGCGAATAGCAGAGGGTGGCTGTAGGTAAAACCAGGCTTCGATAGTTTAATCAGGTTATAGATACCTAATTCTTCCCATTGCTGGGATTTCTTAGCTTCTACTTTCTTGAACCAATTTTGATAAGCAATATCAGAGGTGGGGCAAGATCGAAATGGCTTAAAATTACTTTTTACATAATCCAATACAAAGGGGTCCTTAGGAGGAACGGTTGGGTTTTCTATGGTATTTGAACTAGGAGATTCTACTGCCTTAGGGGCGTCCATTTTGTTAAATAAGGGTTTAAAACTATAACAAACTGGGAAAATCGTCCTGGTGTCTTTTAATATTTCAAAAACCGTAAGAGGGCCATTTAAAGCTAACCTCTTACCAGCAACGTTGGTAGGAATGAGTACCTGTGATGCATACAGCATTTCTTTTTCCTTTAAAATCATCTGAGGGGCAAGAACGGATTGACCTTGGTGAGTGATGATTTTACTTTCCATGGTAGCTCCTGCAGTTTTTCCTTTCTTCTTGGAGACTTTCTTGAGTTGGGATGAAGTAGAAGAAGACATTTTTGAAAGATGTTGAAAGCTTGGGTTTTTGACGAGAGAAGGAGGGTAAAAGATTTAGAGTGTGAAAAGAAAAGAAAAAGATTAAGTTGGTGATGTTTTATAATGGGGAAGTTTAAGCATCCACTGAATAAGGGTGTGATACGTGGAAATCATGGGTTGGTGTGATGAAGAGGTGGCGTAAAGTTAACATGGGTAATAGGCGTGATTTAAAGATAATCATTATTTGTAACTGCACCATGCTGTGAAGTGGCTCCAGGCGGTTAAGGAATCCAAAAGGTGCTATGATTGACGTGACTGGAGTCAAATGCATTAAATGTTACGATGATTCGAAAGTCACATCAAAATCTTGTGTAGGTGTTTAAAATAGGTATTTCTCAGAGGAATCGAAATACATATTTTAAAGGGGCAATTTGTTGGCTGAAGATTTTAATAATGATATTAGAAGCCAAATGAATTAAACATTTCGATCGAAATGAGGTAAAGCGTCATGTTTCGAAGTAGCAGAAGCAGTGTTTCGAATAAATATGTCAAAGCTTGGAGCTTCGAGTGGCAATTATGGGAACATATCTAAAGAAGTCTCGAAATAACAACAAGGCTGTGTCTGGGAAGAGCGTTCGAAACGGAGAAGTACCAAAGCATTTGAAATTCAAATGGAAGCGGGACTTTCGAAGTTTGAAAGTTATGTGCTGGTGCATTTGGGGACACGTGGAAAGAAGAAAGAGGCATTGTCCTGCATGTTCTGAACGTGGCATAATCCTATAGCAAGACCGTTATGGTCGAATTAGTATAAATAGAAGTCTTAGTATTAGGATTTCGTGTGTCATATCTATTGTACTAAATACTCAGTAACATTCAAACTACCACATGGCAAGGGAAACGAATGCAAGAGAAATGTACGTATGATAGCACCATATATTTCTGATTTAATGAAAACCTTTTACCATTTCCAGCATTTTCCTTTATCTTTTTGTCAAATAACATTTACAAGTTTTCTCATTTACAGTCTTTTCACTTCGAAACCTCTTCTTCAAAGTTTTACATTTTAATGCTTTCTTCACATTTCAAGCACTTTATATTCCAGAAAACTGTCATGTTTTCCATAACTTTACCTTCAAGTCTTATCCTTCGAACGCATATTTTTACTTAAAGTCATTTACAGATTTCTTGCATTAAACGCTTTCTTCATATTTCAAACCTTTTACGTTCCAGAATTTCTTTACATTAATTGTTTTATAATTCGAAACCATTTACTTGACTTTTATGCAATTTCACATGTCTTTACAATTAACATTTACTCATGCAACTTAGTTTCACACACACATTTTGATTACATCTTTAGACTTTTTGAGAGAGAAATCGAAATAAGCCAAACGCATATACAACATCAACCATGAATATCTGTTCGATCGTGAGAGTAACCTTAATATCCAAGGAGTCCTAGGATCAATCTAGTCGATCCTGTGAGTTACCAGAGGAATTGAATAACAGTCAGAAAGATTATTCGATAGTTTGGAAGACTAGCGGTTGTATACCAGAAATCACTGGAAACAATGGGCCTGTATGAGAAGGATAGTAGAGGAGACTATTACACTTGGTCCAACAAGCAACCTAGTGGAACCATCTATTCTAGAATAGATAGAGTAATTGGTAATCTAAACAAGCATCAACAGAATATTGACACTACCCTTTGCATTTTGGAGCCTGGGATTTCTGATCATGCACTTTTATGCTTTAAGGGGCCTGAGTTATGTGATTCTAGGAGAAAGCAGTTCAAGGTCCCAAACATCATCACTAAAGATGATAACTTTTTGGCTTCTGTGAATACTAATTGGGACATCCCTTTTGAGGGTAGAAACATGTTTAAAATGTGGAAAAAGCTTCAAAGATTGCAATCTGTTATAAAGTCTCTTAGCAAACCTTTAAAAGGCCTTAATGATCAAATAGTCAAAGCTATGAAGGATCTCACGGTTGTGCATGAAGCTTTGTTGTTAGACAAAATGAATTTAGACTTGATTGGTAGGGTGAAGGTTTATATTGAGTCTATTATCAATTTGAATAACATAGAGGAAAAAATTCTCTACCAAAGGACCAAGCTTGATTGGATCAAAATGGGAGATGGGAACAATGCGTTTTTCCATGCTACATTGAAGGCCATGTATAAGCAAAATCAGATCCAGTTGTTGCTTAAAGATGACGGTACTATTCTAAATTCTTAGACTGATATCAAGGATGAGATTTTTCAGTTCTATGATAATCTGGTTGGGGAATTAGCGAGGGGTCTGCAAGGAATAGATATAGAGGCCATGAGAAAATGGCCTCAATTGAATGAGGAGCAGAGGTTAAGTCTCATTGGTCCTATAACTGAAGATGAAATTTTCAAAAGTCTTAAGAGCATAAATGACAGAACAACTCCAGGGTGTGATGGTTATAGTGCTAACTTCTACAAGGCTACTTGGGAAATCATTATGGATGATCTAATTAGAGTTGTCAGGGAGTTTTTTGATAAGGAGGTTATGTATAAGGCAGTTAATAACTCAATAGTTACTCTCATTACCAACACCTTGGAGGCTAATAGGGTTAAGGAGTTTCGCCCTATCTCTTGTTGCACTGTTATCTACAAATTTATTTCGAAGGTGGTGTAGAATAGGCTTGGCAAAACTAATTGTCAAGTGGTCACTAACAACCAAATTGTGTTTGTCCTTGGCAAGCGTATGCAATACCATGTTCTGTTAGGTTATGAGCTTATTAGAGGTTATAGTCGTAAGAGAGGGCCTCCTAGATGTATGATTCAAATGGATCTATAAAATGCGTACGACTCTGTTGAACGAGGAGCTATGGAATTTATTTTGTGAGAGATGAATTTTCCTCTTCAGTTCATCCGTTGGATCATGCTTTCCATTAATACTGGTATAATGTTAATGGGGAGTATACATATCTTCTGGCTGCCAAGACAGGTCTCAAACAAGGAGACCTCTCTCTCCCATGATCTTTGTTATAGTTATGGATTATCTTCACAGAATCCTCTGAAGGTTGAAGGATAACCCCAATTTCAAATTTCATGCCAAATGCGAAAATCTGGGCAATATAAACTTAAGCTTCGCTGATGACCTTCTTCTATTTTCTAGAGGTGACCCCATCTCTATTAACCTTTTGATGCAAGATTTTTCTAAATTTGTGGCTTCTACAGGTCTAGGAGCTAATCCTTTGAAGTGTAAGATTTACTATGGTAATGTTTCTAATTAAGTTAGAGAAGAGATTCAGAAAATCACTTCCTTTCATGAAGGTCAACTCCCATTTAGATATCTTGGTATCCCGCTTATGAGTAAGAAGTTATCAGTTATGCATTGTCTTATTCTGGTTGATAAGTTGGTTAGCAGAATTAGACATTAGAGTTCTAAGCTTCTTAGTTTTGCGGGAAGGCTCCAACTTGTTAAGAGTGTTCTTTTTCCGATCACTAATTTCTGGTTGCAGAGTATACTGTTACCGAAAATGGTGATTAAGAAGGTGGAAGCGGTGTGTCGCTCTTTTCTTTGGTCTGGTGGAGACAAGATCTCGCGTAAAACTCTGGTAGCTTCGGAAAACACTTGTAAACCGAAGAATCAAGGTGGCTTAAACATTCTTTATTTAAAGACGTGGAGGAAGGTAAATATCCTCAAGTTGTTATGGAACCTTTGTTGTAAAGAGGATAGTCTTTGGGTGAAGTGGATCCACAATTATTATACGAAAAAGGAATCAATCATGAACATGACTGTTAAAATCAATTGGTCTTGGATTCTCAAATCCATTTTGCAGTGTAGACAGCTTGCAGTTAGCCTTCAAGGATGGGACAATATGTTACAACAAGGGAAGTTTAATTCTAAGAAGGTGTGCATTGAGCTGAAAAATCATAGTCCTGAGGTTAGTTGGAAGAGTATTTTCTTTAACAATTTTGCTCGTCCGCATGCGAAGTTTACTTTGTGGATGGCATGCCACAATAATCTTGCTACCAAAGAAAGGCTCCACAGGTTTTCCTTGATTGATAATGACATATGTTGCTTTTGTAGTGAGCAGGAATCGTTAAGTCATTTGTTTTTTAAATGTAGTAGTTTAGCTTCTGTTTGGCGCTATGTGTTGCAATGGATCCATTGTGATCACCAACCCCAGAGGTGGAATGAAGAGATTAACTGGGTCATTAAGTGTAGTAAGGAAAAAGGTCACAAAGTTATTATCCTTAAGGCGGCTTTTACGGAAACTGTATATGAATTGTGAATGTATATAAACCAAATATGCTTTGGAACTAAGAGTCATATTTCTAGTATTGAGATTAAGATAGTGGAAAATGTTGTTTAAAGATGTTGGATGAAATCTAATTTAAGACCTTATGTAGCTAGGCTTATGTTGCCTTAGGTTTTGGTTTGTGGCTGATCGTTTGATCGCTTTATTTATATTGTTTTTTTGGTTTTCGAATAAAGTATTTTCATTTCCCAAAAAAAAATTAAATAAACATATTAACTATGCTTAGATTTATTTACATTTGTTTATATTTAAGGCTACAAAATTTAAATTTTTTTTTTTGCTTATATATAATATAAGAAAGGAATATGATGCGGAAAAAAAATTTCTACCTATTTGGTAAAAATTGACAACAATGTTAATAAAGGGTAAAATGGTCTTAAAAATATTTTTTCGAACTAAACTACACAAGAGTTAGTTTGACTAAAAAATTCAAGGGTTTGACCATTTTGATAAAAGAAAAAATATATATTTATTTTTGAAAGTTAATTCTGTGTAATAAAAGATTTCAAAAATTATGTACGTGAGTAATTTTGGCGTAGTGTGTTTAAAAAATTGTGAATATTAAATAAATTACTGGTGCGTTTTACGAGTTTTATTCAAATACACTTTTAAGAGAATAATAGTTTAAATTAATTAAAATTCAAAGAATCAATAAGTTTTAAAATATGTTGTTATAATTGTATTTAATATCAACGTATATATAATTTTAAAATAGTCCAAATATATTACTAAGACGATATCAAATTTTTTCCAAAAAAAAAAAAAACTTATATTTTTCAATAAAATCAAACTTTGTAAAAAAAAACTATGCTTATAACAAATTATTATGCTATGATTTTATTATTTACATGACTTGTTGGGCTAATAATTTTGGTCCAGTTTGTTTGTTAATATCAACGTAAATATGAATTTTAATAGTATTTTGTAATATATTATTTGAATTCTTTGCTATTTATGTTTTATTATTGGTTTATTTATTTTTATTTAGATGGATTAGTTTTTAATTATCAATTTTCTCAAGTTTATATCTCATGTTTTTAGTATAGCTACACATTTGTGTATTAATCATTGATCAAATAATATTATATAAAGTTTTTAAACAAAAAAGAAAAAAAAAATTAAAAGAGCTTTGTTAGGATACACGTAAACAAAAAGGCATGACCAAAATATTAGAAAAAATAAGAAAAAAATTAAATTCTTTGATAATAATAAACTTAATTTATAATTATCAAATACCTTCGCATTTGATCACTTATTATTTTCACATCTCAAATACAATACTAATTTTTATAAATACCTTCTAATTAATATTATCATTAATATTTTTGTTGACCATATTATTTATTATTATTAATTATTTCCAACAGTTATATATTTATACTCATAAACTTATATGTTAAAATTTAAATATTTCTACTTACATCATTCTAAATATTTTTTTAAATATTATACCATTTTTAATATTTTTTATTTTTAAGTTTGAAAAAATAAAAATAAATATATTCAAGAAAAAAACTTTACTATTGTAAGCTTCAACTACTAAGATAACTACACTATAAAAATAAAATCTTAAGTATGAGTTGTATCAACATTTGATAAAAATCATAAAAGATTCTTTTACTGTCAAAATTAAGAATTGAACTTGATATAACAATACGTTGTTATCATGTCATTCTATCATATTTATTTCCATATCATTCTATAATTTCATTTATATTTATTATTTTATTACAACTCTTTTATATTCACCTCTTAAATACTATATTAAATCTTATAATTTTAATTAAATAGTATTATCATTATCATTAGTTTTTTTTTATATAATTTTTACACAATTATTAGTTTTATAACTTCAATTATCATTACTTGAACTAAAGACTATGAAAGTTCATTATTAAAAGTATTTTTTTAATAAAAAAAATTGTTTTGAAAAAGTAAATCACAATATATAAATTTTAAAATAAACTTTTTTTCAATCATTTTAATTTTATTTAAATTAAATATTACATACTCATATAAAAACTAATAATTATAAATAAGAAATAATTCATACTTATTAGATCATTTATTTTAACAATTACTAAAATTACATTATATTTTTCTATAATACAATTGTAATAATATGTATTAAGATTGACTATATCAAAATCATTCAGATAACAAAAATAGTATAAGAAAATTATTACCAAAAAATATAACTGCAATATTTAGGTAATTGATATACTATACTAAGTTAACCCATAAACCTGCTACATAAATATTTTTTTTTTAAAGTAGGTGTCAAATATGAGAAAAGAAAATAAAAATACCAACACAAAATAAATAAAAAAAATAGGTATCTTATTTGCATTGTTTTGGTAGAAAAAACGAAGAACTACCACCAAAAATTTAAAAGTGTAACTGAGATATAGATAATAATTAATATAATAGAAATTAAGTTATATATCATATAAATTAAATAATAGTTAGAACATATAATTGAGAAAAAAAATGAAAGTATCAATACAAAATTGAAAAAACGAATGATGAAGAAAATGACGAAGAGCTACAAAGTATTATTTTAGTGAGTGATTGAAAAGTTATAGAATAGAAAAAGAAAAATATTTAAAAGTGAGAGAATAATGATTTTTATTAAAATACATTTATATTTTTTAAATGTTTGTATTTTAACTAAAATATATTTATTTTTATATTATTTGTTTATTTATTTTATTTTCATTTTTTATATTATTTTAATTATATATTTTTAAATATTACATTGAAATAGAATAAAAAATATTGAAATTTTATTATTATATTTAAGGATAAAGGTTTTTGGGTGGCTGATGGAGTAGTTATGGAATAAAAAAATTTGAAGAAAATTTGAATAAATATCTCAATTTAACTATAATTAATATTTTTTAAGAGTAATATTATATAATAAGAATCATTTAATATAAGAAATATAAAAAATATATATTTATTATTGTTTTAGAGATAAATTTAAATTTATTTTAAATTTAATTTTCTTTTTAATATAAATTATATGGTAGTGATCCGTAATAAATAGTTTGAGATTTAATTCTTACATTTTATTATTTTTATACTTTCTTATTAATAAATATTTTCTATATTTTAATTACTTAGGAAATCAAAAGATCACTATTAATACGAAAAGAAAAATATCATTTTAGTAGTGAGACCTCTTTATTGGCAAAATTTGAAGAAATCATAGAAAAAAACTTTTTGAAAAATTTTATTATTTTATTTAAGCATAACACTTTGTAGTGAATGATAGAGTAGTTATGATCCTATGGAATAGTAAAAGTTGAAGAAATATCTCAATTTAACTCTAATCAATATTTTAATTACTGAGAAATCCAAAAGATCACTATAAATTTGAGAAGAAAAATATTTTTTTGGTAGTGAGATAATTTATTGACAAAACTTTTTGAAAAAATATTAGTTTATTTAAGAAAAGTTTTTTAGTGAGTGATGGAGTCGTTATAAAATAGGAAAAATTGAAGAAATATTTTAATTGGTGTGAAAAATAAAAAAAATGAATGATAAAAATCTAAAATTTTAATATAATGTCACATGAATATTAGGGGTTAGGATTGTGTTCAAGTTGTCATCATGACAATTTTAGATTTAAATTAAGTAAATTTATACACGAATATTAACTTAAATTTAAAATAAAATTTAAATAACTTGAAATTAAAGTCATTAAGAAGATTAAAATCAAAGATTAACTTGATTTGATTCTTTGATAGAAATAAAAGAATCAAATAAAAAATATACAATGATAACTTGTTAATAAAAAGTTAAATAAAAACTTACCCTTATATATATTTTTAATAATTTGGGTTTTTTTAATTAAAAAAAT